TTTTACCTTGTTTTGAAGAGATGTTGCAATCAACAGAAAATATATGCAAAATCCTATTTTTTGAATAAGACTTGTTATTTTCCTCTATAAGTCTATTTAACTCAATAGTGAAAATGTAACGTAATGTCTATAAATATCTGATCATACCGATGCTTAACGATATTTTTTCAATACCAATTTTATCAAATCCATTTTAACAAAAAGAAAATGACAACACACATTACAGTACAATGTTTTTACTTTACATTTTGCTTTTGTTTTATTTTTAAATTCCTAAGTTTATTTTTCAGTTTAACTCCTTATGGTTATTTTCATAATTATTTGTATTAATGGATTATTCTACGAAACGTCGAAAAGCGGTTTAAATATGGCGTTCCATGTTTCTCTGAGGTCAATGTGATGTCTCCAATTAGCTTGTTTATCTGTATAAAACTTAAAATATTCAATTAACTGTCATATGTGATGAAGAAAAACTGGAACCAGCGAAAATTTACTGAAACAATTAATGGATAATTCTGTCAGTCGAGATAAATTGATGAACTGTTGCAGCTCTATTCAGTTTACAACTATAATACTGTAACCCAAACACTATTACAGTCCCCAGGTGTGGACGTCACAGGTGTCTGATGGTCGGACCACAGCTGGGTGAATGTGAGTGGATGAATGTCAGAGGCACAGTGTAAAGCACTCAGGTGTACGAGCTCTATATAATGCAGCCAATCTATCATATACTAAACACACAACAAGGTCAGGCCGTGGTCCTCGGTTATCTAACTACAGTCCTAAGATTGCATAGCGTGTGTAGCATGACATGGCTAACAGGCCAAGGTCCGATATGGGGTTAGTACATAACATCTTCTCACTTTAACAAATTGCTAATGTTCATTCAGGCCTGGGCAAAGTTTTGTTTACACTGACAGGTTGTTTTAATTGTGTTTTTTCAACCTTTAGCATTAGAAGTAAACTTGAGTCATTTTTACATGAGTTGGTTTGTGTTGCATTTTAACCCCAAACAATTTCTAAGAAGTTTGTGTCTTAGTCCAGAGTTTTAAAAACATGATTTACCTCTCTATCATTAAGAAAAAAGCATACAAACACTGCAACCAGCACTGATAGTAACACAGTAGCGTGCAAAAGTTTGAGGCACTTTAGATATTTCGATGTTCATGCAACACCATCATGGAGGCATCTAATCCCGTCTTAGTTTCATTCTGCGGCAGAACAACGAGTCCAAACGCTCAGTCAGAGACATATAAACTATCTTCAGAGACCCGGAGACCTGCAACAGACCCCACAGAGACCCGATTTCAGCATCATGGAGTCAGTCTGGGATCATATGAAGAGACGGAGACACTGAGACAGACGTAATCCACAGAAGAACTATGGCCGGTTCTCCAAGGTGCTGGAGCAACCAATGGAAATATCTGAAACCATCGTCACTTTCATTTTAGCGCCTAAAACCTTTGCACAGTTCTGTAAAACAAGGGACACTGAGGTGGCGACCTCCTCTCATCTTCTGATCAATTTAATTAGTAGAAGATGTTGTAAACAATAATCACACTTTTAGGGTTAGGATTAGTCACACAATTAAATATGACATTTGATGGCTGCAACAATTATCCTCATTATTTTCTCAATTGTTTTGTCTATTAAGTGTCCGAAATTGTTGAAAAACGCTGTCCATAAGTCAAAGACGTTCAGTTTACTGTCATATATTCATAAAATAAATCCCTCACATTCTCACATTTGAATAACTGGAAGCAGAACACGTTGAAAAAAACCAATGAAGGGATTAATCAGTTATCAAAATAGTTTCAGATTCACTTTTTTGTCTATTAATTTGTTGCTCTACTTATTTATTAAAAGTGTAATGATTTTAATCATGTTAGAGCAGCTGTAAATGTATGACTCGACGGCGCCATCTTGTGGCCAAAGCGTCCAACTGCAGCGACATGTTCACAGGGAGCTGTCACTTTGAAGAACGAAACTAAAATGTGATAGCAAGTCTCACCTAGCGTCACAAGTTCGGTCTGAACAAACGCTAACTACAAGCTATCACCATTACAACTCACCGGAAATACAATGTACTGAATGCTATCAATGTGAAAATATAGCCACAGCTGTGTTATGCTAATGTCATTCAAAAGTTACTTGTTTTTATGTTAAGCAATGAGAAGATTATGGGGCTTATTTGTGTTTGCGATCTTTGAACCCAACAACACTGATAGGAAGTTACTTTATCTTGTTAACGGCCAGATGTTGGATGCTGTTGCCCAACAGCTGGCAAGTTAGCATGAGTTTACTCAACGAGTTTGTAGATAAACCAAAGTGTGATTAATCACATTTACATTTACAGCTGAACTTAAACCAACAAACTAAATCTGAACACACTTTTCTCAGTCTTTAGGCTCGGCTAGCAGCAGCTAGCAGCTAGCTAACATTAGCGGTTAGCTCGAACAGGAACCAGCTGTCTTACCGGGTGTTTTGGGTCTCGGACAGCCGGACGCAGAGCCACAGCAGCAGCCACACACAGGGACATTTCACCGACACTGCTGCCATATGAAGAAGACAACTACCCCGCCAAACTCCCCTCTCCTCCTGCTGGTTCCCACATCATCCAGTTAGCGCATGACCATAAAGTAAAAACAGCAAAATTTACGACTTCCGGTTATTTTACAAAGTAAAAGCTGAAAATAATAATAGCAATCAAGAAAATAATGACTTACAGTAAGTCAGAATCAGGAGATTTAGACTCATAGTGTGGGAAACAAAATGTTGATTAATGTACAAAAAGTCAAAATGAGGAGAATCAAACTTAATGTTATATTTTTGGCTTATCTCATTTAACTCGAGATAGATTTTGAAACAGTCATAATTCTGACTTCAAACCTCATAATTTTATTTAATATATCATAATTTTGACTTAATGTAACACAGACTTTAAAAATTAAAATAAAAAAAATTGCACAATTCTGACTCAAAATGAATATTTATTTGTTAATTTAATTTCTAAAAAGCAATCTCTTTTTTTTCTTTTTTTTTTACATAACATTTTGGGTCTTTCAACTGTCAAAGAAATGTAAATCTGTTTTATTTGTGTGTTGACAGTCATTGCTGCTGTATACTTGATTTACATTTAACTACATCAGAAATTATTGACTTATAATTTGTTGTTCTCTGGGATTTAAGAATTGTTACATGATTTACAAAACAAGAAAGAAAACAAAGCTTTAAAGATGCAAAAAGAGTAAATTTAGTAAAGTCATGTAATATCTGGCAGGTATGCAATCAATATATGCTGTAATAGGTATATATATGATATATAAAAGTATAATATATAATAATAATATATGATCAATAAAAGTGTCCCTATGGATGAAAATAAAGTAAAAAAAATCAAAATAATTGAAAAAGAAATAAGTTTTGATGCATTTCGTTACATATTCTTTCAATGTCATACTTTTGTTTTGAAAGTCATACCAGCATTTTCCAGTGGGTTTTATGACGTAATGTTGTACCTTGACACTGTGCGGTCATATGACTGTCACCAACCCCTGACCTGCTGTCACTCCATGGCACGCAGCTAACGTCACCTCTCCTGTACCTGTACTGACATTAATGAGAATAAATGGAAAAAGAAAAAAAAACGTTTAATAGCTTTGAATTACAGTTTGTTTCTAGCTCCGGATGTTTCCCCAAAAGCCTTAGATGAAGTTTATTATAACACTATTCATATTTATAACTTCAACTTGGTGTCATTTCCTCAGAGTTTCTCTGACTGGACCGGCAAATCAATGGAGCTCTAACCTACTAGCCATTTATATTATTATTTATTTGAGGGAAAATGAGTAAGAGAGCACAGGGACAGGACAACCTGTGGACCAGGAGAGGAAGCAGGAGTAGAAAGGAGTGAAAAGCTGAAGTTAAGAGAAGAAGAGAGGAGAAAAATATGTGATGAAGAACCAGGAGGAGAGGGGTGGAGAACAGGTGAGAAGAAGACAGAAGAGGAAGTCTGGAGTTGAAGAATGAAGAAGAGAGTAGAAAAAAATATTAAAAAAAAATTGTGCTTGTGGCAAAGAGATTTGTATTTGTTAAGACAGTGTGAATCAAAACTGAACAAATGATCAGTGGTGAGGTTCAACAAAGACACAGGGAAAGAAGAAATGCTTTTGTGGACGTCTGTGTACAGAGATAAAGAGCCGGTGATCAGGTGTAGATTAAATAAAATACTGTCTGATAATATTACAGTACATGTGCATGTTGTTTATCCTATGATGCTATTAATATAATTAGAGTAAATGTTCTTCTGTTGGCCTCATATTCAATTCAGAGTCGTGAAGACATTTACTTGGCCTTGTTGTGGATCCACGTCTGCTCAGTTAGAGCAGCTCATATTATTATGGTCTGGATTTAAATGTACATTTGTCATCTTATCATTAAATCTGCAAACTCTACTCCAGCATAGTGTAACAACAATAGGTGTCAATATTAGTGATGCTGTATATGTCAAAGTCATTCCCCACCTGTGTCATATAAAGTCAAAATAGTCACATCAGACAATGGTTAAAATTACTCATTGTCAAAATCTGTTGTGTTGTGGTTTCAGACTGATGGATATAGAGAACAATTAGATTTAAAATATGATGCAGGTTTAGGATGATTATTTTTCCTGGGCAACTTTCCCCTGAGTGTCGACCTAAGGTGGTGCTAAACCTCTGTGTTATCAGTATGTTTCTTGTTCACCTGTTTATCAGCTGAATGAAACCATTGGTTGGAATGTGTATAGTCTCTATTAAAAAACACCAAAACAGAAGGCAACATCCAGCAGATGTCATCTGTATTATTTGTTTTAATTTGTATTATTTTATAGGATCATTATCAGGTACGTTTATGTCAGATATCTTCGTTTAATTAACGAAGCGAAGCGGAATGTAAAGTCCGCGGCTTGTCTGTTGGCCGGGGGAATGTTTTCAACGTGACACACAAATTAAGGTTGAAAGTTGAAGGGGAACATGGCAGCTGGCGTCAGCGCTAAACATGGGTTATTAAGCAGCAAAACGTCGCTGTACCACACTCTCCACAGGAAGATATCACCCAACAGTGTGTGTGTACAGAGAGCGGCTGAAATACGGAGTGTGAGGTCGGCAACGAGCGCGACGCCGGACTCACAACACAATGAGAAGTACTGTCTGGAGCTGGTCAGGTGGGTCTCTCGATGCTAACAACAACAAGCTAACTAAAGCTAAGTGAATTCGCCCTTACTGGGGGAGATATAACAGCTTAATTTACGGCTACAAACAGCCCGTCCTCCCTTTTAAAGAGCTTTAACACTCTTATAAAAGGATAAATAACACATTAAAAAGGGGGAATATAACGTTTTGCAGGGAAACAACACCACGACAGACTCCATTCAAATATCACATATAAATGAAGACAACGTAAAAATTCATAACGCTAAAAAAAATATATTTTGAAAGCTTATTATGCTCTCTGAATATTTTGTGTTTACTCTTCATTTTGGCTCAACCCAGCTCACCAATAAGCATGTATTTAAATGTAGTTTCAGCCTCTAAAGTGTAAAGTATGTTTGTTAAGCTCCTATAAAGCTCTATTGTTAAAGTTTTGGCAGAGCTGCTTTCAGTTACTGTGCATCATTGAAATGGAATGAAACAAACTAGAGTCTTATATTTACTTTGGAGATTTTAAATCTATATTGTTTTATTTAATCTCTGACTATTGTAAATGTGTTTGCTGATTCACAGCTTCTTAGTTTCTTGTATTGTGAAGTTCTGTTGTGTTTGTTGTTGATTGTGACTTGTGATTTCTTGGTAAAGATATTTTAATCTCAGTGAGACTGTCTGATTAAATGAAGATTAAATTAAATGAATAAATGTGAAAACGACTTCAGTCGACAAACGTTTATGTCAGTCCAGCGAAGTGAATACATCGTGCTATTAAAATGTGGTTAGTTCACTTACTGTAAGATTGTTATATGTGTGATCTTATATATAAGATGTAGTGGGGAAATATGATGAAAATGTTAAGGCATCACACTGACTGCTAATGTCTAACTAATGTCATCATCTCACAGCTTTTGTAAAAAGCTGGTTGGTGATGGGAGCATGTTTAGGATCATTTCTATTTATTTATTATTTTGTTATTTCTTTCTTTTGCTGTTGTTTCTCTACAAAATATCTGTTGCACCGATGTTTGTCTGAAAAATATTTCACTCTCCCCTTATTTATGTCACATAAAAATTAAATTACGCTAAATGAAGAAGGAGAAACATGTTGTCAGAGACGTTGTGCAGCAGTGTCAAAGTTTAATTTGGTGTGTATGTGGTGTATCTTGTTACTGTCTCTCACTGTTCTCCTCACTCCTGTCTCTCCTCCTCCTCAGGTCCAGAGACTATGACGGCTTTGTGTCCTCTCTCCTCCTCCCAGAGGAGGTGCGGCGTTCCTCTTTGGCTCTGAGAGCCTTTAATGTGGAGCTGGCACAGGCAGGTATTCCTACAGCCAGGCTGGATGGAGGATTACAGATGTTGATACTGATGTTTTTACCAATTTACAGTTACTAGTCTTACTGTTAAAGAACTGTTACCACTTATTCCTATTATTGATAGTTAATTATGATTAAAAACTGTAATGAGCTGCCTCTTCTCTGATCCCAGGCCTTTTTTAAGTGGTGTTTTAAATATTTGCCCTCTTATGTTTGTTTCGATACAAGGTGAAGGACTCAGTTTCCCAGAAGACCATTGGTCTGATGCGGATGGAGTTCTGGAAGACAGCCATAGAGGAAATCTACAGAGATGAGCCTCCGAACCAGCCGGTCACTAACGAGCTGTGGAGGGTAAATATCAACCTACAGAGAACAGGACGTCAAAAAACTCCAGACTGATTCAGGACGAACTAACAGAAACACTTACCTAAGCAAGAGTGTCAGGATTTGTCTTTAGTTTTAATCATAGCCACAATGTCAACATTTAACGTGAGAAAGCATCTTCTGTCAAATGTTTGCTGCTTCATTCTGTTCTGTGTGTGTCAAGCTTCATTGTTTTCTCAGGAGCTTTAAGTTGATTAATTAATGCGAGCATCAGATGATGAACAGTCTGAACGATGTTTTGCAGGCGGTGAGGAAACACTACTTGACAAAGAGGTGGCTGCTGAAGATCATCACTGAGAGAGTAAGACACGAATGTAACATGTGAATGTCGTCTTCATTAAATTCACACACAGTCATCACAAGGCGAGTTTACATAGCACGTGTCTGTGTTTATATTTTCATTTTTTTCTGTTTGATCAGTTGGTAAAAAAGAAGAATATTATTACTTTTAATTAGTATTTGCCTCTGGGGGTCAGGAGCCTCTGAAGGGGCCACAACAGAAATTAATAATGTGAAAGGAAGGAAGAAAAAACAAAAAAAACTTCTGCGGAAAGTTGAGCTCATTTTGTCATGAAATATTGGAAAGTTTTACTGGATCAGCCTCAAAAAATAACAAATAAAACAGCTTGAAAAAGGAAAATCCCTCAGTGATTGAGCTGCACGCAGGTGACAAATGTTATGGAACCTGTGATTAGTCACAAGTGCAAAATGATTGAATTTAAGAGTTTATAAGCCAAAAAATGATTAAAATTAATCAAATTAAGTTCTGTAAAGTAAACGTTGAAAGTGTGTGTGTTTCACCAGGAAAAGGATATGGATGACAGAGCCTACAGGAACCTCCAGGACCTGGAGACGTATTCAGAGAACACACAGTCGTCCTTGATATACTTGATGCTGGAGTGTTTAGGTGAGGACATGAAGCTGTAAACATAAATATATTCTCAGATACTGAAACCCGTCCTGGTGGTTAGTTGTATAGATAAAGATATCATAGGTAGGTTAGGATAAAGGTCCGGGTTGAAAATGTGATCATTTTCAACCCTTGTGTCTGTTTTTCTCTGCAGGTTTGAAAAACGTGCACGCCGACCACGCAGCCAGTCACATCGGCAAAGCTCAGGGAATCGTCACGTGTCTGCGAGCGACTCCGTATCACAGCAGCCGACGGAAAGTCTACCTGCCCATGGACATCTGCATGCTGGTGAGTGGAGGCTTCACGGTGATATCAGCTCTCTTGTTTACTGTTTAACCCCTGAAGGAGAATGATGCATATAAGATAAAAGCATGAAGAGCAGTGTTTACTGTAAACTGATCTTAACAGTGTTTGTCCCAGGGCTGAGTGTTGTTAGAAAATATTTAACACTGCTGACACTGATACCTGAGTTTTGGTAGTGATGCCGAAAACATACATTCTTCTACATCTTAAATAGGACATTATAATCAAATCTTAACTTTGTTTTGTTTTAGAAAATATTAAAGTTCAAGATTAATTTTGTTCCAAATACAGTTGAAATGAAAATATAGTTTCTTCAGCATCAGGGAATAAAAACTAACAAATAGTCAGACAAAATCATAAAAGCATCAAAACGTGAGGAGAATTACAACGTCGCACAGGAATCAAGGAGGTGGTTTTTCAGACAATTTCACAAAGTAATATTTTGCAGAATTAAAATGGAAACACTTTTTTTTTCTCGCTTTCAAGTTGTGGCACCTGTTGATCAGGCCCCCGGGGAGCCAGTTCCAACAGAGAGGCAGATGCTGGAAATGTGTCGTCCTGTTTAATTAGAATCATATCGCATGACATCACTCGGTGGAAACACAGACTATTCGCAGTCAATCTTTCTAAAAAATAAAATCGATTCTGTTTTTGCGTAAAACTCCAGTTGAAGTTGAAACCTGAAATAAAATAGAACTTTTCTTAAATAAAAGTTTAGATAATAAAGTCTAAAGTTAGACAATTATCCTGTGTTAAATCAGGAAGTATCTGATAAAAGAAGTGAATAAGCTTCAGAATCAGACCAAACTAACTTTCAATACTTTTGTTTTTAGATATTTTGTGCTCAGACACATTTGAGTCAATATTCATAAGGTGTTTCACTTCAGTGCTCAGCCTCATTGCAAGAAAGAGAGGAGTTTTGTTAAAGTGAAAATCATTAAAAAATGATTGATTTGTAGTGTTTCTTAAAGGGTTAACACAGACTCGTCTGCTCCGTATTTTTAGGGGCGATTCAGCTCTTACCTCGACTGTAACTCTTACTTTGCCCTAACAGCAGCGTGACACTAGTTAAAGCGTGTCCCCAGTCGACTGGTTTTTAAGTCTGAGTTTTGCTCCCAGAGACAACATGAGGCAGACACACACACACACACACACACACACAGACACAGACACAATCACACACACACACACACACACACACACACACACTCCCACACATGTTTGTCTGACTCATGCTTCGGCTTTGACATCGTGTCAGATGATATTCTTGTCGTAGCAGTAACGAAATCATTATCCAGCACAAAGCGACAACAAACCAGTGAGGGGTCGTTACACAACAACCATATGGAGCCTCAGATTTAAACCCTTCTGCCTCAGATAAACACACACACACACACACACACACACACACACACACACACACACACACACACACACACTGCAGATGAACAGAAAAACGCTGCAAACAATTTGCAACCTTTGTGTGGGCCATCTGTCCCACAGAGAGAACAACACACTGCTGCTGGAGGATCTGAGAGAGGTGGGCAGGGTGGGTGGGGGGGTGAGGGGTGAGGGGGTTATATATACGGTGCAGATGTATTTCGGCTGCTGCATGAAGCACGCAGGCTCTGCGCTTAGAAAATCTTCAGCTGTGGAGAGATGACGCTCGTGACCCGAGGCCTCCTGAGCCCACTCACCCCACATCACCTCCACGCTGCTGCCTGAAGAGGGGGCTGCTGGTGTGCTGAAATCCCCCTCATGCTCTCATATATATATTTATATGTGAACCATGTAGCTCATGACTAAAGAAGCAAAACAAGATTAAATTTAATGTTTTGTTGATTCAGAAACACTGGAGGCAACAGTGCAGGATGCAGCAGAGAGACAACAGAGGGACTCATTTTCCTGTGACACTTGGTTGATCATGTGTGAACCACAGGGGGGAGGAAATACATAAGACGCACGTCAGCAATCACGTCTCACCAGCTTTCTCAACAAACTGATAAATATGTTTTTTAGCGTATTAGGAGTAGCAGCGCTTAAACGAAGGACACAACTCATGACATTCGTAAAATGGCTGTAATAAATCATATGAGGAAAACAGGTGATATTAACGATATAAAATGAGAAAAATATGTAAATGAGAACAAGTGTAATGTGAATTGGCTGCATTAAAACAGTGAAGGTGATCGGAGTAACGGGCTGAGTGAGTCTGTCGGCAGGACAGTGAAGAGGACAGCTCTTCATCACGATCGACTCATTTAAACGTTAATATATCCAATAATAGAGCGCAGCTGTCGTCATGGAGCTGCATTTATGTTGATTTTGTCAAAATAACCTCCTCACCAGATGTCGGCTGTGATGCAGTTCTGCGGGTGAAGAAGAAAAGGTTTTATTGTTGTTGTCGTTCAGGTGTTTTCGCTGTGGACACAGGTCTGTACCAAAACAACCTGCAACCTGCAAGTTAAATAACATTGTTAAAACTATAATCTGTAACTTTTCCACATAAAAATGACTAGATTTATAATAATATGAATATATAATAACTTTATTTATTCAGCACCTTTAAAAACAGAGTTTACAAAGTGCTTTGACAAACAAAACAAAAGCAATAAGAGTCACAAGCAGGAGAGAAATCAGGTGGAGTTACAGAGGGAGGACAAATAATATAATTCAATATAAATGAGGACAATTAGAGGGAGCAGCTGTTGTATAAAAACACACAAACACGCACAATAAAAGCAATAAAAAGGTGATGTGGAGACGATTCAACATAAAAGGACGATTTAAAAAAAGACGACGTGACATAAGAAGTGATTTAAAAGAAGTTACTGATTCTTCCTCGTCTCGTCTCCCGTCTGCTTTATGTCCCAAATGTTTCCATCAATTCTAAGATTCACTTTTTACACGTTGTTGTCGTTTGCAACTGTATATTTTAAGCAGGTGAAGGATTTTAGTCATCGGACGTCTGGATCAAGTTATCAGAGGAAACACAGACTTTTAATGTGAAACAGTTTTTACTGGTTATAATCATAATTGTGGACAATTCAGCTGCTGGTTAAAAAACAAACCATCCTGAACCAAACTGGGACATCCCATGATCCCTTGCAACTTCTCGACGCCCCCCAAACATCGTCTTTTGTTGAGGGACTCCTAGCTGCAGGAGTTACATGCAGTGTGTTAAAGAGGTGCGTTATCAGGTGCATGAACGAGCGTGTTGGTGACGTGAAGAGTCGCTTGCTCGGGTCACAAGTGTAACGCCTCACCTCTCTCCCTCTCGTCTGTTCTTCAACGTTTCCCCTCCATTATTCCCGCCTCGTTATTTCTCATCATTATTTCCCAGCTGCGAGTTCAGTCCGCCCTCAGGCAATTTCCCCCCAGTTCTCGCAGAAACGGTTCTCTGGGAAATTATTCTGTTATTTTGTTCCCGTGAAGAGAGAGAGGGTCAGATCGGTTTCGCCCGACAGCCTCAATTAAGTCGTCACAGTCGGCGGGTCTGAGACGTTCAGAAGAAAATGCGAGTGGAGAAATGAACTCTACTTGTCGAGGAGGTTTGAGAGTTGCGCAGAAATGATTGTTGTTTATCCTGTTAGTCCATTCTGTCGATGATGTTGGGTTATCTTATTCTCAGTGACCCACCTGCTCATGAATAATAACGGATCATTAAGTCTCACATCTTCACAGGAGGAGCGTCGACTGACTTTCACCTGGATTTTACGCCTCGTGCTGTTTCCTGCTGCAGGAAGACGCTGATCGCTGTTTCCTAAACCTGACTGGCAATTTGAAAAAAAAAAGTAATTTAAATACACATGACAAAGCTCAAGGTGACATCACGTCCTGTGGTTAAATCATTGTTTATCAAACTGCACAGATGTTCTCCTCTCTAATCTGCAGCGTGCAAGATTTGAACATAATATTGCATCATAAACATTTGTACTTTTTTATGATTTTATCTGTGAAAGTTACTATTTGAATAAACTTTACATACTTACTTGCTTGCTTACTAATAAATTATATTAAAGATATATAATATTTTTAAAGCCAAATGATCTCTGATGAGAATAGATGTTCGTGTGGATGAACTGCAAAGAACTTCAGACTTTGTGTAGAACAAACTCCTTTAAGAGGATAAGAAAGGATCCTTTTTGTGCAAAGGTGCTGATTATACAGAATAAAATGTATATTCTGTCTTATACATATAGAAATATATACATACATGCACAGTATTTAGAAAGAAAATGGAAAATAAACAGGTTAAACACAGGGAGATGCCACAGCAGTAGTTACCATCAGTGGGTTGAGATATTCCGCTTTGGTCTGCACTGATGTTACCAGCTAAATTAAATTAACTGTGTGAAAGATGAAACTGAAACCCTGTGCAGTGTTGTGCAGTGGGGGCTGCTTGTGTGTAAATAAGTGCAGGGGTGATGTTGCTGGTGCACCAGAAACAGACCTGCAGCAGTTTAAGTGTCTCCTTTTTGACAGATTAAAGAGAAGCCTGGGCTCTCGTGCTCGTGGAGCTGAAGTGGAAACAGCTGAGCTGCAGTGATAAGCTCCGTCATCAAGTTGTTAAGTTGTCGTATCAGTCGTGCCCCCAAAACATGAGCGTGTTTGTCTCTTGTGTCTCTGCAGCACGGAGCGTCTCAGGAGGACTTTATCCGCGGCAGCCGGGAGCAGAACGTCCGGGACGTCGTGTACGACATCGCCAGTCAGGCTCACGTACATTTACAGCACGTAGGTACTCTCACCTGTCACCTGTACCACAAGACCGGCGCGCTCGTACCGTCACAGCTGTCCATGGGTATTAACGCGCTGCTGTGACACTCCACTCCTCTGGGAAGGCTTTCCACCGCTCTGCAGGGATTTACATTTACATTGGCATTTATTCATTTGGCAGATGCTTCTGTGCAAAGCGAGACACAACCCGGGCCGCCGCACATCAAACAGAAACCTCCACAGAGTGCCTCCACACTCAGCGCCTTGCTCCGCCCCCGACACAAGTGCCGCCAGGGCCGCAGGTGCTTGAAGTGTTTGTGTGAGTAGACTGAGGAGAGAGATGGAGCTGTAACTGATTTTTGAAGAGTGAGAGGGGATCCACTGACCGAGTGGAGTCTGGTATCTTCTTCCATCACAGAGGAAGCGCACAGACGTTTCCTGCCTCGCAGGACGGAGGGAATTCAGATGTCTGATCCCACACAAAGTAAAACAGTGTGGTGTGTATAACCAGCCACAGTAGTTTGAGTCAGATGCTTTGCGGGGGAAAGTTTTCAGCAGCGGATTATTTATTTATTTATAGGGACAGTATATGTTAATGAACTTCAGTACAAAACACACGATGTAAACTAATTTACATACATTTACACAAAATAAATAAAAAGAAATGAATTATTAACCCATTAACCCAATTGGTTCATCGGTGGGTTAAGAGCTGCAGGGATGAAGTATGTTTGTAGTCCACCTGAAGTTAGCTTCCCCCTGGTTCCCTCCACAAACAGCCAATAGGATTTCTCCGTTGTGTTTTGGATTATTAGAGAAAATAAAAACAGTTTCTGATCCTGAGGTTTAGTTCAGCAGGATCATCTTCACTAGTTCAACTACACCAGTGTCACATGACGTCAACACCAAATGAGGACTCAGGTATTTACTGACGTATTTTATGTCGTAGAGTTTGTGTTTCAGCTGTCAACAAAAAACCCATTCAGAAAACTTGAGGAGACTTCAGGTGCTAAAACACGAACTTGTCTCCAGGTTTTAGGACTAATTCCTGCAGCACAAAATGAACTACAGTGTGTTCACGGTGCAGGCTTGAGACACACAGACTTGTTAGAGAGATCCATTCATTGTTGGTTTTGGATATTATTTGTTGACAAGAAGGAAAAATATAAAACATCACCATCTTTAACTGTTAGATAATATTTCAAGGTTTCCTGAAATCCCGGAAGATGTTGAAATCTTTAATCTTTAAATATAAATATGATGATGATGTGATTTCTGTGTTTCCTTTACATCTGGAGAATCAGATTCGTAGGCCGGGGCGTCTCTGTAGCTCCGCAACATTTGACCATACTACGATTTCGATTAATTGTCAAAACTGTCCTGGAAAGTCAGGTTGCACAAGCTGATCGACATGTGCTTCAATCTTGTGCCTCCTAAACCTCACATCAGCAACAGTTTGTAACGCCTTTGGAATACCTTTTTAAGCCACTTAACCAGATCTCAAACAGCAGGAGGAAAACAGAGAGTGCTATTCTTAAAATTCAAATTGCAGGGGGATGATTTGACATGCAGTGATTTACAACTTGCAAAATGTCTGCACACACGGTTTAAACACACAGTACAGTAATGGAGCTCTCAGGAGTCGGGGACCAACTGGTTTGGAGCTTTATTAGCCTCCAATTATACGACTCATTGATTTTCTTTTAGAGGCTTTTTTCATTAAGCTGCCGCCCAAACATTCATCAGCATTTATGTTTTATTTGAACCTTGTTTATAGCAATTAAGAACGTTCCTAACAGTAGCAAAGCAGGATATAACTGAGGATTTTCTTCTTCACTGCATGTATTTAATGTGTTTACTGTTTACTGTCCTCCCCTGGCTCTCAGTCAATTAGAGAAGAGCCACATTAACAACTGACAAAGAACAACAGAGGTTATGTTAGTCATTAGAAAGTCTAATGGCCTCCGTGTCTCACAACGCTGAAATCCATCACAGTAACAGCAGGACGTGAGCTTATAGTTAAATATGTTGGTATATTGGTGGCCTGTTGTCAGTTTCTCTTCACTTTAATCTCTCATTTAAATGTGGAAATGTTTCCATTAAGTCACATATAAACACGGTATTGATTTAGTGGCAAAACAACTAAACGAACAGGAAGTCGAGAAGTTTCTGGCTCCTACTCTTCTCTTCTGATTTATATCTTTTTAATTTTTACACCACCACCAGAGCGGACAGAAGAAGAGGTAAATTTACCTTTTTGAATCCATAAGTTTGTACAAAAAATAAAGTTTTGATTCTGTATTTCTTTGAAGAGTTTTCTGAACCTAGAACCTCATGTTCTCTTCGGTCCCCCAAAGAGACTCAGCTCTGGACCGTCACAAATTTAATTGATTTAAATGGAACCTCCATAATCGCTGTATCCGCTCGCAGCCGTGAAGTAAATCCATAGGGACCATATTTCTGCCTTCAACCAGCAGCAAACCCTCTTAATAAAGTTGATTTTGGAAGCAGTTGCTTTAGCTACTGAAAATAATCTTTCCCTAAACTTTAAACAAATCCCTGCACGAGCCCTGCGGAGAGGTTTGAAGTGAGCTGTTTTTTTTTTCCCAACTGTCCAGACGGAAGCGGCTGATCGTGTGTTTGGAGTGTGAGACAGCTGACACCTGCAACGTCTTTAAAACGTGTGAATGTGTCTTCGCCTAAATTTTTTTTATTAATTTGTCTTCGTCTTCTTTCTCCTTCAGGCTCGATCTTTTAGCAGCAACGTTCCACCAGCTGCCACGCCGGCCTTCCTGCAGACGGTGAGTCAGATAACTGCTGATATCTGTTCTGGAAAACAAAATCTACTTAAAAGTCACTAAGAAACTTAGAGAAATGGATTAAAAATAAAAATCAGATGTCTTAAAACTTCAGTGAAGCTTTCAAGAAAAGCTTTTAAACTCTTCTTCTGTGTTTTATTTGAAGTGTTGATCCATCAGAAGATATGAAAACCATCTCAGTGTAGTTTTACATCTCCTCTCTCAGGCTTCTTTCTGCAGCTCTAGTAACAACAGGTCTGTGAGCCAATCAGAAGAGAGGAGGCTCTGAGCCTCTCTTCTGATTGGCTGACTGTTTTCTGAGTGATCCAATAAAAATATAGCAGATTTCAGGTAAAAACACTCAGAGAAACCAAATCCTGTAAAGGTTTGGATGGTGGGTCCAGGTGGGCGGGGCGTGGTGACTGCTTTGTTGTGACATCACAAAGTTCCAGAAGTCCTGACGGCTGGTTTTAAGGCTCAGTTTCTGAATACAGGCTGTGTGCATTTCTCTGTGGACTGAGGCTTTGATACTTTCACAGTATTAATATAGAAGCTAGACCTGATCTATAATCACACTACACATGGACAGAGACCTTTACACTGGAGGAGCTTTAAATACATTAGTTCAGATACAGGTCCTTGGGAGAAGTTCACAGAGGGAAAACAAGGCTAAACAATTCTTCATCTTTCTATTGCACCCCGAACTCATTAGCCTCACCACTTCTCATCAATCACAAGTTCAATTGATTTCTCAAATGTCCCTTGAGGGTCAAAAACACTGGCTCTACCTCTGTTTGATTTGTAGCTGTGGCTGAAAAAGTTTGAAGTCCAACATCCACATCATCAACTTTCAGCCTGAGGGAGATCTGTCCACTGAAACCTGCACATTCACAGTTTTAGTTCTCCAGGTGTTTCACTGCTGTTCTGATAAACACACTGTCTCATAGTTTTTCCTCCCTTTAATACAAATAACAGGTTTCAAACTGTGTTTGCAGGCGTGTGTGTGTTCACTATAGATTAGTTCATATCGGGTTTGTTTTAAAGCTTCTGATAATGAAACACACAGAGGAAAGTGGATTAATCTGTGCAGTGATGATGTAAGTTGTGGGCAATCATTAAAAAAGTGAGGACGTTCTGCTTAAAGGAAAAAAGCATTTATCATTGGAACGTCAGTATTTGTATCTACGTCTAGTTTAACCCTGGGATCAATTCATTAATCAGACACAGAGAATATCAGGAAAAAGTTATGGAACGCCTCAGGAAAGTGACTCTGAACGTATAAAGACATTTACACAAACTCTCTCATGTGTTTAGCAGCTGCAGATTCAGTCTCTGTCACACCGGTTAAACAAACAGAGGAGTAACAGCAGCAGTTAGTTTCCTTCAGGTGAAGAAACTTTAAATTTTAAAGTGTTTGTTAATGTATTTGTCAACAGTTATAACTCCTCCTGTCAGTTGAGCAGCTGCATGAACAGATAATGATAATATAGTGTAATACGTATAATGATATATAATATAATAATGATAATCTAGTCAAGCACAGCTGCAATAATATAAAACATGTCATTATAATTGATGATAAATACTTTACACTTCAGTACGTCCTGATATCTCAAAGATGATAAAGTATGAAAGTATAATATTTCAGTCACTTAGATAAACTTTGTTTCTTGTATAATTAGTTATATTGGAACATGTTTCCTTGTTAAACTCGCACGTCCTCACGTCTCAGGTGCAGGTGTGTTGGAAAACATCACTTAAGTCTTGTAAAGAAGAAGGTCCCGCTCACTGCTGCTGCTCAGCATCACAGTGTGTTGATGGTTAGGACGACCCAAAGGTCGAGAGAGACCGAAACGTTAGCGAGAGGGAGGATGTTCTGCTTTACAAAACTTTACTAAATTAAAATCCCAAACCTGTTACCTGTCATTTTCTCTGTCGTCATTTCCCCAACACCTTCAGCTATTCCCCCTCCTCTCCGTCAGACAGTAACGATGCAAATAAAAACAATATCACCACCGTAAATCATCAGGTCTCTGACAGTAAGAAGGAACCATACGTAGGATTTTGGCGTCAATAATGCAGCAGAACATCATCCAACCTACGTCCTCTGGAAACAGAGACGGTAAAAGATTTGTATGACAGTAAAGTTTAATATCTTAAAACGTAGAAACGCTCGTCTTGAGAGTGATACAGTTTGTGATGCAGCATTTCCTGAGACATATTTCCTGCTCCTGTCATTTATTTAAAAAAACATAAATACACACATGAATACACAGTAAAGCAGCAGATTTGTCTCATTGTTTCCGGGTTTTACTGATAAAATACACAGATTTTTTTAAAAGCAGCAGATTTAGGTTTAAACTGACGGTGACACACACACACACACCTACACCTTCCCACTGCAAGAAAACACTGATTATAGATTATATATACAGTAAGTGAGCTTTTTTCGTGATGAGTGATCATAACAGTGCTGCTGAGCCGACCTGCTGTAAATACAGAGCTGAGAGAAAACACTGTACTTCAGTCTGAACACGGCGCCGACCTCTCTGCCCTCCTCAAAGCAGAGTGATGTTTTTCACGCCGCACTGGACCTCTGCACTGCAGCAGCGGTTATTTCTGTGCATATGTGATTTTGTGTGTGTGTGTGTGTGTGTGTGTCTGTGTGTGTGTGTGTTCTGTGGTGTGCGCGCAGATTTATTGATCCAAATTTCAAAAACAACAAAAGAAAGAAATACAGGTTTCTCCTGGAGTCCCTGTCCGGTAGTGCAGAAAGGAAATGTCTGATTAACAGGCTAGAAAACATGTCGTGGTTATTCCTTCTCCAAACCTGATCAGACTCTTCTTCTTCTTCTTCTTCTTCTTCTGTGGTGTTGTGTTGCTGCAGGTGGTGTTGGAGGACTACCTGCAGAGAGTGAGGAAGGCAGATTTCGATGTTTTCCACCCCAGTCTGAAGAACAGAAACCCCCTGATCCCCATCCAGCTGTACCTCCGCTCCTGGAAGAAGACATACTGACATGAAACCCTCACCCCAACCCACCCCACCCGGCCCCAGCCCACCCAACTCAACCCACGCACAGCCCAGTGATTCCAGATTGACTGACAACTCTGAGAGCTGGAGGACTGAAGTCCAGAGACATCACCTCTCCCGGGGGGGATTCTGCCTGTGAACACATGCTGGATCAAGTCTGCAAAGAAACCCAGACCTGTTTTGAAGCACGGCGTCGCCTCTGAAGTCTGAAGTCTGCCTCTTTATTAAAACCTCAACAGCTCCACAGACACCAACCGTCACTTCTCAGCCTCTGACTCCCACACTCCAGCTTTACTCTTCATAAAACTCAGGCAGGTTCATCTTCTGTCAGAGACGAGAGAGGCAGAGGTGTTGTGATGATCAGAGTCCAAGTATTTCATCTTCACATTTATTACCATTAAGCTCTTATTCTTTTACAGCTTTAGCCCTCATTTCTCTCAGTATTAAGAAACTGGCACTTCCAACTTTAAATACTGAGATCTGCACATGAGCAGAGATCAGAAACAAACCTCACGTTTGTAAGAGCCACAGTTTCTCATGCAGGATTTCCTCGTCTTGCAAACAGACGTGGAGCGCTACGTTACAAACCTGCGGTTCTCCCAAACGCATTCAAGCACATGACACGATAAAAACGCACATTGCTGCTCGACAGAGAGAAATGGATCAGGGACTCCTGGTTTTAGTGCTGGACCACTCAGTGTAAAGTGAGGGATTAAAACCAACACTTCAGGCGCTCTCACTTTCAATAAAGCACTTCAGATGGAGTCAGGATCTCAGGAGTCGGCTCTCTATATTCACTTGTCAGTTTGTTTATCCTGATTCCTATCTGTAGATATTATTTTTCACGAGCTCCCGGCGTTGTTATCGACGTCTCTTCTCCGACAACCCTCACCTGTAAAATATGAGAGAGATGTTATTCACAGTTGATGTCAGCTCGGCTCACCTCCCGCCCCGCCCTCTGGTTTTTTAATGACACTTTTAAAAGACGCCCACCGAAACATCTCATCTTTATCTTCCCGTGAAAACAGCTCTTTCCTTTTGGCGCTGCATTTCACTACTGATGCGTCAACTCGTCGACTTTCAGGGAGCAGCCACCGGTTTAGATCATGTGACTGAACGACCACAATAAGATCCAAGTCGTACCTGTAGAGGAGGAGGAAGCTGTGGAGGAACGTCCGGGAAAGACGGAGTCAGTCTGGCACCAACATGACCAGTCCTGGTGGCAAAGCTGCTCTACAGCTCTCTGTGGGTTTCTATGGCAACAGAGGAGATTTAGTTATCCAGTTATTTAGTACTGAAAAGAAAACTTTCACCACAAATTACCCCCCCCCCCCCCCCCCCCCCCCCAATGTTTCATGAAAACAGACGTGCTCTGATAGTGTGAGACCTGTGCCAGTCAGGAGTTGGTTTGTTGGATTACTTCCTTCCTCTCCTGGAGGCAGAGTTATTGAAGCGGCAGAAAGAGAAGATTACAGAGAGCTGATGTCATTTCATAATCAAATTTCACTCCGCAGAGGAGGCAGCACCGATCGAGTGAAAGAAAAGGATGTCAGAAAGATAATGAGGTGGATGACGTGTGGAGAGGCAGCGGCACTTTATCTGTGAACAGGCCGGAGACGGATCACACCTGTGGAGACGTGTCTGACGTTTCCCACTGTACAAACATATCAGTGTGTGTGTGTGTGTGAGTGTGTGTGTGTGTGTGTTGCGGTGTCGTCCTCAGCTGCTGTTATCAAACCAAACGGAGGCCAGAGCGGACAGGAAGCTGTAACACGTCTGTTGTTTAGCACCTGAAGGATCAAATAAAACGATGAATCAGACGTTTTCTCTTTGATTGACACGTCTTCTCTTCGTCTGATAACAGCAACACACACTCCTCCGGTACTTCAGTGCTACTACACACACACACCACAACGATTACTCCACCACATTAAATAATCAGCTGGAGTCACTTTTTCAAATTCAAATTTTACATGAAGAAAAACGAAGAGAAAGAATTCCAATAATATCAAACACGGATTAACAAAATATGTGCAAGAATTTTACTCTTATAATTTAATTTGACCTTTTCTTCCTGGTCACACCTGAGGTAAAGGTAAACCACACTTTAATGAAAAGGTTCTGCCTTGGAGAGAATGTGGTTCTGTAAATGTTGATCGTTGTTTTTTATTCTGGAAACGCCCCAAAAAGATAGATCATTGGAAAGAATATTAAAATATAGTTCCTATGGATATTCAGTAGAAGCCTTGAATGGCAAGTGATTGATTTATTTATTTAATTTGCCAGGATCATTTTTTTCATCTGTATAAACAGCTGAGAGGCAAGTAAAAAAAAAAAAAATTAATTATAAATATTGTTTTCAGGTTGTCCGTGGACGTGATATCTCTGTAACGCCTTCATGGAACTTCTTCAAATTTGGCACAAACATTCATTTGAACACAAGGAAGAACTGATTAGATTTTGGGGGGTCAAAGGTCAGGTTTAGCTCATTTAGAGTCATTGTTGTGTTGGGTCTTTCACCTCCATAAAAAAACAAAAAAAAGTTTTGAAAACTTTTTTTCCTCCGCATCAGCGTCTGTGTTCGGGAACAGGGTGAGATTTTTCAGACTGAAATTTCCCACCTCTCAGTAAATCTGGTTTGATCTGTTTCTTCCATGACGCCAACAAAATGCCAGGGAGCGCTCGAGCCTCTGACTGCAGAGCGGCTGCTGCACCGTGTGAACATGTGTGAAGCTGTGTGAATCTAAAGCAGGGAGGAGGAGGAAGAGGAGGAGGAGGAGGAGCTGGTGGTGGTGAAATGTGTTGCCTCCCCGGATGAATAAAAGATAGAAACTGAATGCGGTAAGTCACTGGCAATACTTATACATTACATATTAATATGGCGGCCCGTGAGAATACTGATGCAAACTTGCGGCCAGACTTTTGATGTTTGTCGGGTCCTTGCGGAGGAACCTGAAAGAACACAGTGTTGTTGACTTTGAGGCGCTGTGCTGCATATTTCATGAATCGTGTGTTTTAAGACACACAAAAAAAAAAAAAAAAATGAATAATGTACAAAATGCAGCTTGTCACCCTTCAGTGGCACGGAGCGAGCAGAAAGGAAACGCGGAGGGATCATGATGAGAATATTATTACCATGCTAACTTGTTCTGCCTGTGTCGGCATGTTCTTCTGGGACATTGTGGAACTTTGTTTTGCCAAACGAGACGTTTGACAGTCGACAGTTTGGAGACAATAACAAGGGTAAAGAGAGAGCGAGAGAGAGAGACGTGCAGCAGAGATCAAGCCGTGGATGTTGCACTGATGTCCCCCCCCCCCATACGTGCCGTCTTATGCTGGAGATTTAAACCGACGTCTGGAGCCTCTCCTGCCTGAACAACTGTAATCATGGGTAAAGAGATTCCAAAATGACATTGAAACTTCAGCGCTATTAAAAGCCAGACAAGCATAATTCAGAGACGGTGCCTGAGGACATGTTTGCTCCAGAGAAACTAGAACCTGACGGTGGTCAAGTGGTGATTGGTATTCAGGAGGTGCAGGAGTAATCCCCGCTGTCTGGACCACATCAGGCTGATTATCTTGCATTAGCTCTGCTGCAGACTGAGCGGAGGGAGCGGAGGGTTCGGCCTCCTCATCGTCCAGTGACAGCTCTGCTGGCGGGCGGCTGCTGAAGCTCTGCTGCAGGAAACACAAACAAACAAACAAACATCAAGACTTTCACTGTCAAGATTCAGGTTCATCCATCTACATTGGTTTTTGCAATTTGATTTAAGTTATTCACACCATTAAAAGTGCAATATTAAGTAAAGGTGGCGTTCAGCAATATTAGCTAATTATCAGAGCATGTCATGTGGTGACCCCAGTTTTAAAGCTCCATGTTTCTTCTTCTTCTGTGTTTTATTTGAAGTGTTGATCCATCAGACGATATAAAAACCATCTCAGTGTAGTTTTACATCTCCTCTCTCAGGCTTCTCTCTGGAGCTCTATTAACAACAGGTCGCTGAGCCAATCAGAAGAGAGGAGGCTCTAAACCTCTCTTCTGATTGGCTGATTGACTAACTTTAAGTTAATGCCCATGAGACAAAGATAATCCAACCGTTACAGGTGAGTTTTAGTTGATGAGAAAATCTCAACCTGAACCTGGCGGCCTCTGGTGTTTGTTTCTTCCTGTAAATTAGCAGGTGGATGTAGAGAAGGTTGGAGTGTGTGTGTGTGTGTGTGTGTGTGTGTGTGTTATACATGAGGCCCCAGGAGTCCTCAAAGCACATTTAGCCCTGAAAATGCTATTATTATCATTAAAGCCTGTGTGTTAATTATGCACATTATGGTAATTACACCACTTTTCATGACAGTGCAGTGGATGCTTTGGCCACATTTCTCACAACATAACGTGACCTTTAACTTGTGGATATGAACAGCAGCTCATGTTTCATGGACATCAGAGGAGTACTGAGGTGAAATCTTACTTTTCTATGAATAATTTACTTCATATTTTCCAGAAGACGCTGCAGTGATGTACACGATGCTCAGCGCTGATCGTCCCCTGTGTTTGAGGAACGAGGACGGTCTGTTGGTGTCTGGAAAAAAAACCTAAATTACAAATATAATGTCTGTGCTAAAAGCCTGATTCGCGGTCAGGTACGTCATCATTAGCTATAGAAGCAGGCGGGTTTAGATGACTCCCTGAGGAGAGAAGACAGACTGTGTGATTTAGGTGGGAGTCTTTGCACCGCTGCTTCTTCCTGCCGCCGTCTCTTGCATGTTAAATCTGGCTGCTCGTCCCACCGTCCTGTGTCTGTATTTCCCAATCCAGTCACCTCGGCGGCTTCGGATCAGGATGTAGCTGGAGATGAGCCCGCTGGCACATTCACACATTTATGTGTTTGTCCATTTAAATTTTTTTTAAAAATGAAGAAGAGATGAGAAGATGAAACACGTCTCATGTCGTCTCCAGTGAAATGTCTGATGAGTTCTTCTTGAGGGACAGTTTTGCAAGGGTGCAGGGAGTC